GCATCTCCGACATTCAAATTAGATGCAATAAAGTCCACACTTTTTGATATTGAGTAATAAAGTTCAATGAAGCCCAAGCAGGATAAATATAAAGAAAACCATACAAAGTTATATCTTACTCAAACTGACAGAAATTAAAGGTAAAGAGAAAATCTTACAAGCAGCTAGACATAAACAATATATACATGAATATAAGGGGGCTTCAAAAAGTTTGTGGGAAAATCCCATTATACGTTCATCTCATTTTTCCATGAACTTTTTGAAAACCCTTGTACAAGGGAACAACAAAAGGAATGATGGCTAAATTCCCTTCAGAAACAATCGGGGCCACAATGGTGAAAAAACATCTTTATGGTGCCAACCCAAATATCTATACCTAGCAAAAACAAAATTCAAAATGAAGGTGAAATAAAGATGTTTTCAGATAGCCAAAAGTTTACAAAGTTCAACAGGAGACTTGTACTTCAAGAAATGCTACACATACACTCAAAAAACAAAACAAGAAACAAAACCCAAACAAGACCAAACAGTACTTACAATGGAAGGGAGATGAGATTGGAATGGAACAGGAAGAAAAAGATGAGCACCAGAAGCGATAAGTATGTGGTAAACATAAACTCACTCAAACTCACTGCCATTATTCAGTGATGCTCATTCTCCTGACATGATCACTGAAGACAAAGCTGGTGCATAAATAAATGTGGTGGAGAAAGCTGATGGTGCCCGGCTATCACAAGATAAAGCATCTGGGGTCTTAAAGGTTTGAAAATAAATAAGCAGCTATCTAGCTGAGAGGCAACAAGTTCACACAGAAGAAGCACACCAGCCTATGTGATCGTGAGATATTGATGGGATCAGGTAACAGGTATCAAAAGACCCAAAAGAAACAAACAAAAACCATTGTTGAGAATGAGGGGGGTCGGACCAGAGATCCAAAACCATCTGTAGACAATAGGACATCCCCTCACAGAAGGGTCACAAGGAAGGGATGAGTCAACCAGGGCACAGTATAGTACTGATGAAACACAATATTCCTCTGGTTCTTTGAGGCTTCCTCACCCCCCACTATCATGACCCCAGTCCTGTCTTTCAGGTCTGGCTAGACTGGAGCATGTACACTGGTACAGGGAAGAGCTCACGACACACAGAATACAGGTCAGATAAACCCTTAGGAACAGAAATGGGAATAGTGATACCAGGAGGGCAGGGGGAGAAAGGTAGGAAGGAAGAACTTATTACAATGATCGTCGCATAACACGCCCCAACCCCGTCAGGGGGATGAACAACAGAAATGAGGGTGAAGGGAGACATCGGTCAGCATAAGATATGAAAATAATAACAATTTATAATTTATCAAGGAGTAACGAGGGTGAGGGGGTAGGGAGGGAAAAAAGAGGAACTGATACCAAGGGCTCAGAGAGAAAGTAAATGTTTAGAAAATAATGATGGAAACATATGTACAAATATGCTCAATACATAGTGGAACTAAAAGATAATGGAAGTATCTGTAAGTAGCTGACTCCCTCCCCAGAGTTCCTGGTTCTGTAGGTTTGGGTGGGATCTAAGAACTGCCATTTCTAACGAATTCCCAGGCAATGCTGACACTACGGGCCCAGGAATCACTGGATCACTTCGCTGCCATACTCATTCTAGCTCGAAGTCTCTGCTATTGCTCTTCACCTTTGTTTTAGGTGAATAAACTCTGAATGGAAAACCAACAAGAATACAGACATAAAAAAATTGAAAAGATCACAAAACTATACAAATGAAAGAACCACTGATTCATTTATTTGGCTCTCTGACAGCAATTTCAGCCATGTACATGATCTATAGACACAAAAGCAATCACTGAGATCGAGAAAGACTAAAACAGTGAAGAGGAAACAAAGAATTGTTAATTGTGGGGTTAAAGGGAACAGGGAACCCCACAAAACATCACAGGTTTGGTAGGCACAATTGTACAGCGATAACAAGTAAAGATTATAGTAAAGTCATAGAGAGCATGAGAGTTAAAAGATGGAGTCAAGTAATGGAGTCAGACGCAATTCATGGTAGCATTGCTCACCTTAGCCCCACTTGATGGTCCTCGTGGAGGGGACTTAGCCGCCAGAGTAGAAGCAGCTCCTCGTCCTGCTGCCTCGTCCTCCTCAGCCACCTTCCCGAGAACCAGGGAGCCTCATTATTTATTGCTAACCATGCATCATATCACTTTAGGGGGATCTGATTACAGAGTCATACATCACAGAAAGGGGCAATACAATTCATCCTAGAACAAGTTTGATCACTCTGGTGTCTCATACAATAAGACAGACAACTACTATTCTGGGAGGCATGCAAGCCCCCTGATAGCAGACAATAACCTAAGTCATAGGGAGGGGTAGCAACATAGGCAATACAATCAATAGGAGGGGGATGACCTAGGGGTGTGCCCATAGGAATGGGAAGGTCTAGGGTTACACATGTGACAAGATGGGTGGACTCTAGATTTATAATGGATACCTAACCTTGGTCATCCTTGGGCGGGTTTGACCTGTGTGGTATCTCCTGCAAGTAAACAGACAACTGCTATCCTTATCAGAAGGGAGTGGGCCCTACTTAGGGTGAGTCAGACTATTCAGTCTAGATGGCTGATGTTAGGGAGAATAACCTCTGACCTACTTTCGCTGACCGCCTAGTGAACAGTCATTCTCATGCTAAATCTGGCATATATTTTGGGGAGACAACTTAAGAGAAATCTTTCTGTTCCCCACAGTTAATTCTGACTTTTCTGCTCTAATAAATTGGGGTGGGGCCCAAGGAAGGGACCTATAAAAACAAAGAAACAAAAAATGGCAAACAACAACAACAAAGAAATGGCAAGAAAAACAAGAGCTATTAAGACGAATTACCAAATGGTATTAAGAAGGGCAGCAGGGAAGCAGTGATCGACTTGAAATGCAAACAGACAAGAAGTTAATTTGTTGTTGAAAAAAGATATATAGCAAACTGAAGTGGCATTGAATTTTTTCTAAATACAGTGATTAAAATTTTAAACTCACTCACTGCCATGAGTCCATGCTGACTCATAATGATGCCCTGTGGGTTCCTGCGACTGTAACTGTTTACAGGAGTGCAAAGCCCAGTCATTCTCTTGCACAGCTGCTGGTGGTTGCAAACTGCTGACCATTCAAAAGTGTAGAGTAATTCACTAATAGTGTTAGGTAGCAAGAGGCAGGGACAAGGGGGTTGTCCCTCCCCATGCCTGCATAAAGCCCCCTACAGGAGGTTGGGAAGAAAAATCAGGTGAGCCTTAGCTAGCCATCAAAACTAAGCGGGCATGCTCTAATTCAGGCACCCCTCTCCCCCACCCCACCAAGCCTGGTGGGGGGTATACCTGCGTGGCTCAAACTAGGCCCAGGTGGGGTTAATTCATCCAATTGGGTCAGTCAATACCTTCGACCACACCTGAGGTTTAACTACCTTAGAGTTGGTACTGCCCCCGCCCCCCTTTTTTTACTTCTGCGGCCTTTTGTCCTCTCCTGGGACTCTGCTCCTGCGGCCACTCAGCCTTGCTGGGTTTCTCTGTCCTCAGGTCACCACATGTAGGTCGCCTGTGTACAGTGGTGAGCCCAAGTGCAACTTATGCGTGGTCTGGCATGCTTCCCCGAAATAACGTGTACTCTTTTGAGACTGTAAAACCTGAAACTTCTTCCGTCCTTTATTAAAACTCACTTGGATCACAAACCAGGCTTGGCATGAATTCTTTCTCATGCAAGGCCAAGAACCGAGGTATTTCCCACCCGAGAAACCTAACAATAGGGCAAGTCAAGACATAAAATCCTAAATAATTCCTATAAGGATATTACTGTCCCATATGAAAGCATACACATACCACAGCAATCTGGGAAAATAAAGTATTAAAGAATGAACCACTAAACTGATCCTGACTGCACAACTCATTTTAAAGGCGGTTTAACCATGGGGGTGGGGTGCTCTAAGATAGATGGTATGCTGATTGTACAATTCCCCTTGATATGATTGAATGATTGAACTATTCAATGTATGATAAGTAAATTGTGTGCCAATAAAACTGTTGGAAAAAAAGACTGGTTAAAAAAAATGACCCATCATTCCCTTACAGAAGGGTTGCGGGGAGGAGACAAGCCAGTCAGGGTGCCGTGTAGCAACGATGAAACATACAACTTTCCTCTACTTCCTAAATGCTTCCTCCCCACCCACTATCATGATCCCCATTCTACCTTACAAATCCAGCTAGACCAGAGGATGTACATTGGTACAAATAGGAACTGGAAACACAGGGAATCCAGGATAGATGATCCCTTCAGGACCAGTGGTGTGAGTGGTGATACTGGGAGGGTGGAGAGAGGGTGGGGTAGAGAGGGGGTTCAGATTACAGGGATATACATATAACCTCCTCCCTGGGGAACGGACAACAGAAAAGTGGGTGAAAGACAGTGTAAGATATGACAAAATAATAATTTATAAATTATCAAGGGTTCATGAGGGAGGGGGGAGCAGGGAGGAGGGGGAAAATGAGGAGCTGATACCAGGGGCTTACGTGGTAGAGAGAAAATGTCTTAAGAATGATGAGGGTAACGAATGTACACATGTGCTTTATAAAATTGATGTATATATGGATTGTGATAAGAGTTGTGTGAGCCCCCAATAAAATGATTAAAAATAAAAGATCCATTTATTCTTTTAGGAAACATAAATAACTAATATACAGCTGTCATAAGTAATAACCCTTAGTCATTAAAAAAAAATCAAAATATGGTTGACTCCTTCTATTTATCAAGGGGAAACAAAGTTAAACACTCTAGCAAAAGTTTTCATTAACTTGGTATCCAAAAAGAAACTTGGCGATTAATGACCAATTAATTGGAAATATCAATTACCTAAATATCTTGTGATTTTTACCAGTGTTACTAAAAAGGAGAATCAAAGTCACATGAAAAATAACATGACCCTTTTGGTTGAATTCTCTAAGTTTTACTTACAAGTGGGAAGATCATCAACTTTCGCAGGGTCATTCTCCTCTACTCCAGGCATCCCCGCATCACCACCTCGCTTGATTTGTTCTGTGCAAATGACACATATAGATCACTCTCAAGTTTCCCTTACATCCTATGCAATCAGAAATGTGTTCAAGCAATGTAACAGTACATTTATAAAGTAATAGGTTACAATGACTTACACCTTTATAGTTTGCTTTTTATATAGGTATAGCTAAAACAACTTTCTCCTCCTTTATCAAACGATCCAATTTTGAAATAATGGACTAAAATCAAACAGAACTAAGAACAAACTAATCTTATGGTTGAAAATGTTCAATTCAAAATAGGGAGGGAAAAATCAATATCTTATTAACAAAATACAATAAAAATGATACCTTTCCCATGTGGACTATGATTGCTGGAGGGTTCTTCATTCTTATCTGCAGTATTCTCAACTACTTTGGGAATATTTTTAGGTATTTCATGATCATTTCCACCCAATTCATTCCCATCATTTGACTGAATCTTGCTGGCATCTTGCTGTCATACAAAGATTTTGTAACAATAAATATTTTTGTTAATTCAAAATGTTAAACCATTGATTCAATTATTAAATGTTGTGGCATAAGTCCAAATTCTGACCATGTGAAAATGTGTCATGTGATATTTTGTACTCATTTTTGTATCTTGATACTGAATTAAAAACAAACAAAATCAACTAACTTTTTAAAGCCTCAAATTCCAGCAAATGGTCTAAAATACCAGGTAGAGTGCATTCCTTTTGGTTCTGATGGAGTGACTGATAAGAAAGGCAGCCTACTGAGCACCGTGGGTCACTGTATGGCATATCTCTGGCTGTTATCGTGTGGGAGGTGGTTCTCTGCATCTGGGTAAGTCATCAAGGTTGAAGGACAGCTACTGAGATGGTTAAGTTTTGCTCCAAGAGGAGACAACTTTTTTTCTAGGTGCACTGGCTACCCGAGCATACCAAGTAAGTTTAGGCAAGACAATATGCAGGCCAATCTTCCCTCTCCAGGTGGCTCCTCCTCATTTCCTTTCCCTGGAAACGTAAATCTTCCATGTATGTGACTGACTCAGTACTACTGGTGAGCTGGTTTCCTCTCTAAAAGTGGTTGAGTCACTTGAATGGAAAACTGGAAAGGAAAGGAATGAAGAGCACACAGCTGGCTGCCAAACAGGGCCTTCTAATTAATTACCTGGAGCTCTGGTGACACTGCTGGGTAAGCATTGCACTGCTAATTGCCAAGCTGGTACCTCAAACCCACCAGTCACTCCACGGGAGAAAGATGAGGCCACTTGCTCTTATATAAAGATTTACAGCCCTCAAAACCCCTATATAAATACGGCCACTATGAATTGGAATTGACTGAGGGCAGTGGTGGTTTGGGTTAATATTTAATCCATATACAAATGCTTTGTAAGTTCTAAAAAATCATATAATGGGATAATTAATAGTTTTATACATACAAAAATACTTTTTAAATCTATAGAAAATCTAGAAAAACAAGGATCAAAAAAGTAAAATGATAACCCCATAGATGGCGAACAAATATTTGGCAACAACGTATCTGGAAAGGGACTAATCACTAAAATGTATAAACTACTTCGAAACGTCAACAACGGTAACAAAAACAATCCATGTAAAAAATGAACAAAGGAAATGAACAGATATTTCACAAAAGATATCCATTCAAATGGACAACAGATACATGCAGATGCTTGTGATGCCTGAGCAGAGAGAGATGCAAATCAAAACAACAAGGTATCACCTCACCCCAACAATAATAGCATGATTGGAAAACCAGAAAACCGCAAATACTGTGAGAGTGTGGGGAGACTGGAACCCGTATGCACTGCAGGTGAAGTTGTAAAGGGTACAACCACTGTGGAAAACAGCCTAGTATTTCCTTAAAAAGCTGGAAATAGTGACACCACATGATCTAGCGGTTTCTATTCTACTACTAGGTAAGTATCCTAGAGAAATAAGAGCTGTGGCATAAATAGATATGTGCACATCCATATTCATCAAAGTATTATTCAAAATAGCAAAAAGATACAAACAACCTAAGTGCCCATCCACAGATGAATGGATAAACAAACTATGGTAAAACTATGCAACACTGAATGATGAAGCTAAGAAACATCTAACATGGATGAACCTGGAGGACACTGTGCTGAATGAAATAAGCCAAACACAAAGAACAACCATTGAGACTCTACTGTAAAAAGCCAAGAAATGGTTTACAGACAAAAAGAAGCATGCTTCAAAGGTTACCAGTGCTGGCTGGTGGAGGGAGGACCAATGTTAACTAGATAGTAGACATGTATTAGTATGCAACTCAGGTAAAGGGAAAGGCAATACAAAATAAGCAGGTCAGGTCAACATGACCAAGACAAAGGAAGACACTGGAAGGTACATAAAAGGCAAAAATAGTAAATACCATTGCATATGCAATCCTATAAAAACAATAATCTAAAACGACAACAAAACCCAATAATCTAGGGGTGGATACATATGTAGATATATAAGCTGCTTAGGTTTGAGATGGCATATAGGAGAACACCCACCAACATATTCTAAGGGGCTTCAAAAAGTTTATAGAAAAATTCCACTATCTTTTAATTCCATTATCACATGCATTTTTTGAAGTTTCTTAATATAAGTTTGGCAGAGGGTATTTCTATATACACATTTGTATGTGCTACAAATAAACCTAGGTATATACAAGGGGGCTTCAAAAAATTCTTTGAAAAGTTGAATTAAAATATAATGAGTTTCCCACAGACTTTTTAGAGCATAAAAGGGGAAAAGTTATGCAAACATTTTTGCCAAACCAGCACTCTGAGGAATGAGCCACAGTGTACTTGGTGCTTAGGATCATCGTCTTGGAGGACATCTAGATCATTTAGGTCAATGTCAACATAGCTCACAAAGACAATGTTCTATAGCCTACTTTAATGAGCAATGCCTGGGGCCTTAAATGGATGTGAACAGCCAACTAACATACAGTGATTGGCCTCTTCTTGTCTGAAGCAAAAAGAAGTGAAGGAAATCAAAGGCTCAAGAAAACAATGAGTCCAAAGGCCTAAGGGACCACATGAAGCAGCTGCTACTGGCCTGAGATCGGAAGAGCTAGATGGTGCTCAGTTAGCACTGCTATGGTCAGGACATCTTGGGCAGAAGGGAGAGAAAAGTGGAACACAATCCAGAACTGTTAAACTTTGGACTGTCTGGTCTGACAGAGACTGGTGGAATCTCGAAACTGTGGCCCTTAGATAGCCTTCAAGTGTGGACTGAAGCCACTCTCAGAGAGCATCTTTCAGTCAAATAACAGACAAGCTTATCAAGTGAACAATACTTGAAAAGAGCATATAATTAACCACACAAACCCAAAAGGGTAGCATTTGTCCCATAACAAAGCTTGGAAGGCAGGAAGAGTTAGGCAGCAAATGGAATGGGGAATGCAGGGAGGAAGAGGGAAGAGAGCTATGACATGGCAGGGATCGCATGAAATAAGGTATGTATAAATTGTTACATGAGAAACTAGTTTGCTTTGTAAATTTTCAGCCAAACGGAAATCAAATGTTTTTAAAAAACAGAATGGTCACAATGAAGAGAAGAAAGGGTGCTTTGGTAATCAGGTGTAGATATCCAAGTGTACCTAACATACAAAATAGCAACAAATATTTGCTTCATGTTTTGCAGTTTGAAATGGAGCCTTGGTGTTGCTGTTGGGTACGTGTTGGGCTGTCAGTCACAGGGTTGGCAGCTCAGGCCCCCTAGCTGATCTACAGGAGAAAGATGAGGCCGTCTACTCCCATCAAGATTGACAGCTTTGGACACCCTGTACTGGGTTTATGAGTCAGGGTCAACTCCACGGCAGTGCGTTCTTGTCATTTAAAATTGCTTTCCTAGCTATGTCACAGTAGTGTTTAACGAATTACAAGTAAAGACAAATTAAATAATGAAAAGTGTGTGGTACTTTGTTAGCGTCTTACTTAAAGGACTTAAAGAAGAGATGTAAAGATGGGTTGGATGAGGAAGGCAGTCATATGTAAGGTCTGAAGACGGAGGATGTAGTAGAATATAAAGAGAAAATACCATGGTTTGGGTCAGCCACTGAGAACCTTATCAACAGCGGTTATTTTAAGTTTTATTATTATCTGGTAGGCTATTTTGGGGACTTGGGAATGCTCAGAACTCTTTCCATACAAAATTAATGGTAACTGTTTCTTTGCTTTACATCATTCTGGCTTATGAAGGGTTTCATAGGAATTCTCTACTTTCAGAGAGAAGGGTAAACCTGTATATACTAGACTTATGCTGGCACAATGGCTGTAGTAAACCTGTCTTCCCTTTCCTTTACATCGTAAGAATTAGTGCAAGCCATGCCTAGTCACGTGAGATCAAGGGGTTTAGAAAATGAATCATCTTCAATGGGTAGTAATCTTCAGGTAAATTCCTTCTATTTTTGTTGAGCTTCCATAATATATCAACTATAAATTAATAAATGCTTTTCAGTCTCCGCCCAAGTACTACTAGAAATTGGTCACAGTTGCTAGTATTTTATTTCTGTGATTTAGGAAGGAATCTCTGAATAAAGAGAATGGCAATTAAGGAAAACAGTCCCCCATTTCCAACTGTGTAAAAAGCAATTGATTTTCAGTAAAATGTTACCCATTTCAAAATCTAGGGAATATATTACTATTTTTTAAAGTCAGATACTTTAGCGCAAAATTAGTTTTAAGAATTGAAATTATATTTTTACAAATGTCCAATTTCCTCAGCAATAAAGCCACTGCATATCATGTTGGAATAAGGCAGGTTATAATACTATGCATATTAAAATATAATACTTTATAAAGAGTGCATATTCAAATTTCAAAATTATATATATAACAAAAACATATCTTGGCTTGAGTGTTTTTTATAATTACCTTTTGTTCTTGCAAAAATTGGTCTGCTAATTTCTTAATATTTTCTTCATGCTGTGCTGTTAATTCCTTGATCTGATGTCCACACTGAAAACTAAGTTACAAAGACATTCTTTCAGGTTTTATTATCTTTGATTGGACTGCCAAAGTTTTCTCTAAGTTGGCATACATGAGAAATTTTATATATCTGAATCTTTCGGAGAAAGTTCACAATTGAAGGAAAACATTCATAAACTAGAAAGTTTGTCTTATTTTTTATAAATTGCACTTACAGAGTAAAAAGTATCAGAGCCAATTTCAAGAGAAAAGTACTGCAGAAAAGAAAAACCATAAGCACCATATGAAGTAACATGAAAACTACATTATGTGAGATCAGCTGGAATTGAGAGATGACAAGGAATGGCAGCAGATACATCCAATAGCACTCTGAATACTAGGATAAGAGTTGAACCTCCCCCACCAAAAAATGTTTAAACCATAAGAATGACAACAAGAATAAAAGAAAGTAATAAAGATAGTGTCATAAGAAATACAAGGGCATAAAATAGATAAAGATCATGACAAATAGACTATTCTGGTAAAAAGAAACAAATGGTTAATAAACACATAGAAAAATGTCACGTTTCATCATTAAAAATGTAAATTTAACTTCCTATCTATACTTGTGGTATATGTGATATTTATATTAGCAAAATTACATTAGAATTATAAAAAAGAAAAATTGGTTAGGTTATGGGAAAACATCTGTATTATAACAGTAAAATAATTTAAGAAAAAATGATCTTTCTTCTATGCTATAAGAACAAAATTGATAAAGCATGACTCTCAGGAATTTGAGAATGACACTAATGAAGAAACTTAAAAAGGTAGAAACCCTTCTACATAAAGATTTTTTATTGCTGTGACAGTTACAATCATGGGAACAGGAAGGCTCCTAACATTGTGAGAGTAAAGGTTTGGTATGTTATTAGTCTAGAACAGTGATTCCCAACCTTCCTAATGCCGCGACCTTTTCATGCTGTTCCTCATGTTGTGGTGACCCCCCCCCAACCATAAAATTATTTCGTTGCTACTTCATAACTGTAATTTTGCTACTGTTATGAATTAGGTGACCACCGTGAAAGGGTAGTTTGACCCCCAAAGGGGTCGTGACCCACAGGTTGAGAATCGCTGGTCTAGATGAACATGTTACCTCTAAATACATTAAATCCTTAATCCTATAGTCAGTGGGGCAGCAAGGCAGGGGTGTGTGCCACATTTGTGTTATTAATCATTTTGTTTGTTTGTTTGCCTAAATCAAACCCAAATCTTTCTTTGTGGTGTAACTTTTATTTTTTTATTTTAATTTTATGTTTTTAATAGTTTTATTAGGGGCTCATACAACTCTTATCACAATCCATACATACAGCAATTGTGTAAAGCACATTTGTACATTCATTGCCCTCATCAGTCTCAAAACATTCACTCTCCACTTAAGCCCCTGGCATCAGGGCCTCATTCCCCCGCCCCCTCCCCGCTCCCCACTCCCTCATGAACCCTTGATAATTTATAAATTATTATTTTGATATATCTTGCCCTGTCTGACTTCTCCCCTCACCCACTCTTCTGTTGTCCTTCCCCCAGGGAGGAGGTCACATGTAGATCCTTGTAATCAGTTCCCCCTTTGTAACTTTTATTATGATTGGAAATTTCACATCTGAACAAAATTTTATTTAAATAAAACAAAACCACACAAAAAATATTGACTACTGTTATTTTTGAATATTGAATACATATGCAAACCCCTACAAGGGAACATCGGAAAATTTGTTTTCATCTGCCCACAAATTTTCTGAAGGACCCTCAAATGCAAATGTACATTGATCACCTAAGACATTATGAACTTTGTTAGAAATATGAGGGGGTCCCCTCCACCCCAAAAGGAAAAAAGCTCTGTTGGGCAGAACATTTGTAGTAAGCACCTTTCCCACTAGGTGAGCACAGAACAATTCTCTCTGAGTTAGTGCACCCAGTGACCTAACCTGGGAAGGTTCTCTCTGGTCACTGTGAATTTTTTTCGTAAAAGCAGTTTCATTTGAACCTCACATTTTGTGATGGCCAATTTAAGAGAATAGCACGCAGCTGCGAAATTTTGTTTCCTTCTAGGGAAAAATGTCACAGAAACTGTTCTAATTTGAACACAGCTTACAAAGACAGCACTATGGAAAAAAATTCAAGTGTAGAAGTGGTTTTCTCTTTTCATAAAAGGTGAAAGTCAATTGATGACAAACCTCATTCTGGAAATCCGTCAACTTCCCAAATGAATGAAAATGTTGACAATATTTGTGTACTTGTGCTTGAAGTCTGACTACAGACCAGTGAAAAGATGGGGAAGTTATCTGGACTATCTTGGAGCTAGATTAAACAAATTTTAATGGAAGATTAGGGAATGAGAAGGCTCGCTGCGAAATTTGTGCCTCAGTTTGGACTGACAAGCAAAAAAGAGAGGGTGGAGTGGAAACATTCTGTGCTTGGAAAGAACAGCTCTGAAGATACCCAGCCTCATTTTCTAAGGACATTACTGGTGACCAGACATGGTGCTATTCTTACAACCAGCGAGCAAACATCACTCAAGCCAGTGGAGGACACCCAAAAAAAACTTGTCAAGTGAAATCAAAGATCAAGATGACGCTCATTTGTTTTTTTGATGTGAGGGGGATGATGCATTTGGAGTTTGTTCCACCAGGTCACTGTTAATCAAGCTTTCTGTTTAGAGGTTCTGAAAAGATTATGTTAACAGTGTGTGATAAAAAGGGCCTGATGTGTAGCAGACAGGGGACTGGTTTTGCCACCATGAGAATGTACCTGCTAACGCAGCCATCTCAGTGCACCAGTTTTTGGCAAAAACAGCCATGCACACCATGCCCCACATACCTAACTAACCTGACCTCGGTCTGTGCAACTTCTTTTTGTTTCTGTGAATGAACAGAGACCTGAAAGGACAGTGATTTGAAGATGCGGAAGAGATGAAGAAAAAAGCAAGGGACGTACTGTCAGCCATCCAAACAGATGAGTTGGAAAAAAGTTTCCAAGAATGGAACCTCAGATTTGACAAACGCATTAAGTGTAATGGAAAGTGCTTTGAAGGTGATAAGGTTGTTTTGTAAAAAAAATTTAAATAGTTTTGAAAAAAAAATTCCTTTTTTTTTTTATAAAGCGCCTCATAGCTAAAGGTGCTTTAAAATATGGTAATTCTTTCTAATTTTTGGTGCACAGATGTAAAATACATCTTTAACCATAAAATTGATTAAAGACATAGTAAAGATTTTAAGAGTGATCACTAAGGTCCCTAGGAGCTTTACAACTTCAGCAACTGACTATAGAGATGTGAGCAGGGGCCAAAGGGCAGAGCAGAGGCAGTAGCCGTAGCTCAATATCACACTCATTCTTGGGACACCTTCCCGGCTGGCTTCCTTTTCTGGATGCTCTCATAAGAACCACAGGGTCTTCTTTTAGCCTTTGCCACATCTAGTTTGATAAAACTCAGAGCATTTCAGATTTTCTATGTCATAATGAACCCTGCAACAAAACAGATCCAAGATACCTTGTAAGATATATATTTTGCATGGTATTTAACAAATAGAAAGCACACAAAGAAACAGACTTGTTAAGTGGTGGGGTTACACAGAAACACTCCAGAAGAACTGTGCCTCTGGAACAGCAGATTTGTTTGGGACCCAGGTTATTTGTATCCTTTTAAATGATACATCAAGCAATCAAAGATGCTTTTATATATTTGAAAATAGCTGTCTGAAGCTCTCATACTCTGCTTTTTAAAAACACATAGGGGGGTGCATAAGCAAATGTGGTGAAGAGAGCTGATGGTGCCCGGCTATCAAAAGATATAGTGTCTGGGATCTTAAAGGCTTGAAAGTAAACAAGCGGACATCTAGCTGAGAAACAACAAAGCCCACATGGAAGAAATACATGAGCCTATCCCGACACGATCACTGTAGACAAAGTGGGTGCATAAGCAAATGTAGTGATGAAAGCTGATGGTGCCCGGCTATCAAAAGATATAGAGTCTGCGGTCCTATAGGCTTGAAGATAAACAAGTGGCCATCTAATTGAGAAACAAGAAAGCCCACATGGAAAAAGCACATCAGCTTGTGAGATCACGAGGTGTTGAAAGGATCAGGTATCAGGCATCAAAGACAAAAAAAAATTAGAGCATTGTGAATGATGGGGAGTGTGGAGAGGGGACACAAAGCCCATCTGTGGGCAATTGCACATACCGTTGCAGAAAGGCTGCGGGGAGGAGACGAGCCAGTCAGGGTACAATGTAGCAATGATGAAACATACAATTTTCCTCTAGTTCTTATTTCTTTCTACCCCCTCACCCCACTATCATGATCCTAATTCTACCTTACAAATCCGGCTGGACCGGAGGATGTACACTGGTACAGGTGGGAACTGGAAACACAGGAAATCCAGTGAGAGTGGCAATACTACCGGGAGGGTGGAGGGAAGGTGAGGGAAAAAGGGTGAACAGATTACAAGAATCTACATATAACCTCCTCCCTGGAGGACGGACAGTGGAGAAGTGGGTGAACGTCAGACGGTGTACGATATGACAAAATAATAATAATTTATAAGTTATCAATGGTTCATGGAGGAGGGGGTAGCGGGGAGGGAGGGGAACAATGAGTTGCTGATACCAAGCGCTCAAGTAGAAAGCAAATGTTTTGAGAATGATGAGGGAAACAAATGGACTAAAATGCTTGACACAATGGATGGATTGTGATAAGAGTTGTACGAGCACCCAATAAAATGACTTAAAAAAAAACACACATAGGGAAAGCTATTAAAAAGCAACTTTGTGTGTCAAAAAAAAAAGGATTTCAAAGAGCCATCTACAATAGAAAGTAATTTAAAAGGCCCAAGAAAGTGAAGGAAAAGGAAACCAGAAACCAGAAAGGAAGAAATGAATTAAGTTGACAAGTTGTTCAAGTATTTCTGATTCATAAATTTTTTGCATCTAGTATCTTACCTCTCATATTCTAACCTCTTCACAAGGAATGTATTATTCTTCCTATAGTCTTGAAGCTGGTCTTCTTGTCGAAGAAACTCCTGACGAAGTTCAGCAAGTTGCTCTATGGAGATGATAGCAAGGGATGAGTTGAAGAAAAATGTTAATGAGTTGTTGAATGTAAAACTATGAGTTGCTCTGTAAACTGTCACTTAATTTACATAAAAATAAAAAAATAAACTCACAAAAACAGAAAAACACCTCTCTGGAGCACAGTTCTAACCTGACAGATATGAAGCCAGCATGAGGCAGAATCAACTCCATGGAAACTTTTTTATTATTAACATCTTTAACCTGTAATTACGATTTCTTACCCTTTAAATGCTGTATGTCTGCCATCTGATATGATATGTTGTTCTGTAATTTAACCTGAAAAAAAGATTAAATCTTCATTTTACTAAAAGATACGCAACTTTGCTTACATCTACTGTTTTTACTCAAATGTACTTTGAACTTTGCAAGTGCAAAAGAAAAATTTTGATTATTTCTATATACTATATATACTCATGTATAAGCCGTTTTCCAGCACATTTTTAATGCAGTTTTTGTGGTAAAATTAGGTGCCTCGGCTATTACACGGGTCGGCTTATATGCAAGTATACGCAGTACCTTCCCCCCCCCTCAAAAAATCTGATTTTGCTCATTTTATTTTATTTATTCATTTTATTTTTTGTTCATTTTAAATATATACAAGAATATTTATCTTATTTGGTATATGGGGTAATAACTTAGAAATTTTAACACAGAGTTCAATATTGCTTAATATGTTTTTCAAAATCCTACTAGAAAAGAACTCTAATTCTGTATTACTATTTCGGAATGTTGACTCAAAGGTAAGTAAATACTTTAAAACTCTCATAAGTGGCCTTGGAGTTTTGGTCACTGTACTCAAGTAAGGCAAAACACATTGAGAACATATCAAAATATGCTCCAATCATTCCATTTAAATAAGACTCCCTATAAGACAAAAAAACTACTGTTTCTCAGTTCTTGCTTTTAACAGGT